GGGGGAGGTTTTACCGAGGACCGACCAGGATCTCGTCCAGTATGCTAGAGAAATTGGGAATACGTTCAGCCATTAATAAGCCACTATAAGCGGCGGAAGTCTTAACCAGGGCTAGACCATAAATTTGCCATTCAAATGGTTGGATTGAAAGGAAACTTCAAGATGACAAAAACAAAGTTCCTCAGAGGATGTTTAAAGCCCTGAAACTACCGCGATTGGAAAACAGCTTTTCTCAAGAACTTACCATCACAAGCTAAGACAATGAATTCATGATCTGGTGTAATTTCTTTCTGTATCACATCGGGCAGAGCTGAACAAAACAAAAACAGAGCCACATAAATGAAAATTCATTGCCTAACTCAGAAAATCCTGAATTTCGTTCACTTTCAACACACTAATAAAACTAATATTGCCTATGCGATCAGTAAAACTAATTTCCTCTAGGACAACCTCCTCTGTTGATACCTATGTATGTAATTGTACGCGTGAATATTATCTACATTCAATTTCTGTCAATTCAATATCCTGCAGTGTAGACGATTTATTACGGCGCGCGTTCGTTTACAAAATCGGCCATGTTTAATTTGAAGTAATGAGTCGACAGTAGGGGGAGGGGGTGCAAATGGGCACTCACTTGCCCCCTCCCCTTGGGTACAATTTCTTTCCGCTTTCATTAGAATCAAAGTGACAGCCCAAATTACGCCTGCTACGCTTGCTAGAAATTTTACACAAACATACAGCTCTAAAGATTAAGGATGAGGATGGCTTATGACAACAGTCCAATCATTGTCAAAAATTGTACTAAAACCACAGCAAACATCACTTAGGACTACAGTGGTTCTCCTTTATCACTGACAATGCTTCGTACGGCCCACTAACATTGTGGGGGGTGGGGGTGGGGTTAATTCCCTTGTTACAATTAGCTGCAAAGCTGCCAAGAGGTCCATTTTAAGACCCTTCTTGGTTGAGTTGGGCAGAGGTTAAACCATTTGGGTCTGAAACCAGGTAATGTTTTGTTATGTTCTCTAAAATTAGGTCCTGAAGTTGAGTGTACTTTAAGAAGTTTTATTTTTAACTGCACAACATTTTACTCCCTTGTATAAGCTACCTACTGACAACTAACCACACAGCTCACTTCATTGATATCAATACCTGTTACAATCTGCTCCTCTGCTGACTTTTTGTCATTCCTTTTGAAGCAGAAATCTCCAAGTGCTCTTGAAAGGGCTAAGTTGCCTATAACATCAACGACGTAAGAGTCAATACCAAATAAATAAAGGCTGATAGTTTCTAAAGAGACTGTTTGGGGCTGTGTCGGTGGGGTAACGAAATAATTTGGATATATCAACAAAGTTGAAATGGTAAATTGGCCACCGTAACGATTACAAAAGCCGACGTTTCGAGCGTTAGCCCTTCGTTCCGACGAAGGGCTAACGCTCGAAACGTCCGCTTTTGTAATCGTTACGGTGGCCAATTTACCATTTCAACTTTGTTGATATATCCAAATTATTTCAATATCAAATAACCTTACTTTACATGATTTCTACAAAGTTCTTGCCGATTACTTTCTAATTCATGGCTGACACCATTACTCATGAAAACGATAAACTATTTGTGTTAGTGGAGTGTCTGTGTGACACCATAAGTGAGAGGAAACAGTAATAAATAAAGTAGAAAACATGTGGTTATGGTGTTAACCATATCACATGGAGTTTTTACAATGACCCAGCCAAGCACAGACTTATCAAGCAGGGCTTAACATGCAAAGAAAAAATAAATTAAAGCTCTGTTTTCATGCATGGCTAGATCTACAAGACTAATTTTCACTACAAAGCTATTGGGAAACTTATATCGTTCATTTCAGCTCTTACCATTAACTCTGTTGAATTCCACCCAGCCACCAGCTGCTATGATTCTTCTTGTTTCATCTTTTGAGAGACAAAAAGACAATCACTCAATGAAGATGTTCCTTGACTAAGGTGCATGAAGTTACTACAATCAGTATTGCCTCTGGAATTGCTACATTTTATATCAGGGCTAGCTCTGCAAGCCAGCAAGATGAAGTGAGTCCTGTGATCTGATTGGATATCAAGCAGGCAGTGTTGCACAGACCAAAAAATTGCTTGCACCTGGTTTACTTTGTTTATAATTTCCGGGAAGCTGTTGTGACTTGTCTCTTGGTTGAATATGCATAATTTGATAACAATCCTAACTAAACAGAAATTACTCCACTGCCAGCAGAAGAATCACCTACCCATAACATAAGAATAAATACAAATGAGAAACAGCACACTGAAAAAAGCAACAACTACAACCAACCCAGCCACCAGCCAGTGAACCTTAAGAGGGCAAACCACTGTTGGCAAAGAAAGATACTTAAGATACATTACCATCATTGCTTGGTTTATGATCAAAGGAAAGTTGTTCCACTGCTCCCCTCTTTGATGCAATGGCTCTGGAGTCCCCAACATTTCCCTGATAAACAGGACACTCAGTCAATATGTGCACAATGAACACAGGCAGAGATTCATGAAATACATCATATTATAACATAACCAAAGTAAAGCGCGCGCTCTGATCGGTCAATTTAGCATCCCCCATTTGCCCATGGGTGTACGCTGCTGACGTGAGCAAATGCAAAGACTATTTTTCCGCGCGCACTTGTTTTTTTCTGGTTGCGTAAGGTTTGTTAAATAAAAGGGAACTCTTTAGCTACAATGTATCAATGTTATGTTATAAAACAAATGGTAAACACCACAGCGTACACTATTGAGTTATGGATGCACTTGGGAGGTTTGCTAAGCACTCAACAAGCTAGAGTCGCTCTCGGCTATCGCCTCTAGCGTCTCTTACGCTTCTTTAGTGCTTAGCAACCTCCCACGTGCATCCATGACTCAATAGTGTACGCTGTGGTGTCTACCATTTGTTAAAGAGGAATAAAGACAGAAACAACATAAGGTAATTATCATCATAGCATCAATCTTACGCAATAAATCTTGTTATTTTTGAGGATTATGACTATGGCAGTTGTTCCAGCCATTTCGTCCTTCATTTGATCATCTGAAAACAAAACACAGCAACTTCATAGAAAATACAACCCTTGAAACCTTTGCTTCTAACATTCACGAGTAAAAAAAAAAACATAATCATCCTACATATGACCGTCCATCACCAATCCTTTGTATGACTCATGGTAAATGCTAATTCTGCTGTATGACATACTTTCTGATTTTAAACTTCATTTTCTCAATTGAAACAAAATCCGACAAACCCCCATGAAATTAAAAAAAGAAGGGAGCTGCAGATGTTTGAGGTGTTATTCACTGGCCATATTTTTACAAGTCCCTCTTTATCAAAATAATATATGCATGGATGATAATAACTAGAATACTGCTCTTGAAACTCCTTGCCAAACCACTACTGACTTTACATTTCATTTACCAACAGATGGTCATCTCGCAAAAGAAAACAAGCTATAATTTCAAGATAGATCACACATACATTTACATATTAATCAAACTTGGGCTATAAATATCTTGCACCCTCTGACTGTTGGCTTCCATTCTTTAAGAGCCTTACTCAACAATATCTTGGGGATGTGTTTAGTGGTTTGTACACTGGACAGGTCAAGAAGTACATGATCCAGCTTAACCATTCAGTTTTCCCTAGTATATAAGGCATACCTTTCTGCATATCAATGTCACACGCCAAGAAACCTCCCTTTATTGCTTCACCTATGTTTCCCTTGGCTAAAAAGAAAAAAAAATTAGTAAGAAAGTGAAAAATTGGGCCTTATCTATAAATTCAAATGAATATATCAAAATGCAAGTGAATAAAGCATATTTAGGTAATAATGTTAAGATGGCTGAACACAGTTTTTGATACCTTTGTTTCTTTCACCACTTTCTCTTAAACCCTTGATCTCTTGGTCGCCAAAATTGGCAGCAAGCAAGTTAACAACACAAACTTTGTTTTTTTGATAGTTGAGCTGATGCATGTGCCATTGCCATGGCTACATGAATAGATCTAAACAAGCAATTAAAATCAGTTTTGTTTCTTTGTAGAAAATCTAGTCATTAGATTTTCTTTATAATTTACATGCAATGAGCTTGTATTGATACTCACAAGTTAACACCATTTTGCTGACAATTTAACAGAGAGATCTTAATTATCCCTTGTTGAAGGTTTACTCCATTTTCTAAAATTTCCTTTGTTTCAATTTTTTTTCAATCGATGCTGCAGTTTCTTATTTCCTAAAGTATTTTTGTGCCATATTTTGCAAAATTCTAATGAGTGGTTCTCAAGAAATAGGCATATTTCCGAGAAAGCAATTTTCCATTCAGTCGCAATTTTTTGACTTACTACGCATGCGCTGCATTTAACTGGGTTCTTTCAGTAACAACGAAAAAGCTGAGAATTGCTGGGTTCTTTGCACCATTAACTTTTCCAACATATCTTTGTAATAAAAGATTAAAGCCCTCAATATACTGCGCCAACTATGGAGAAAAATAGCACAGATAGTGCTGGTACGTGTTGAGTAAATAAAATGACCGCTCTACTGACAGCATATTTGTTTTTTGCAATCCCTGTGCGCACGCTGAATTGCATCAGCAAAACCACGCCCAAAAACTGTGTTCAGCCACCTTAATGTACCCTAATAATGTTACTATGCCTTACCCCAGGCAGGATGAGAGGTGATTTTTGTGTGAATGCTTTTACCACAATACTCTGCAACCCGTGCACCTAGCAGTGAAATACACAGACAAGAGATATGATCAAAAGTACACCAAACGTGCTATTCACGAGTATTGCACAATTTCCCTGATGAATGGCAAAGATCAGTAACTCAACAAGAAACTCATTGACAAGTTATTTGTCACTAGTTTCTGAAACAAACAAACAGCTTACAAGAATTTATCAACATTTCCATGGTTATCATCTCTGGAACAATGAGCAAGAATGCAGCAAAATTCCCTTTTAATTAATACTTGCTGTGTTATTCAACATATGGAAACTGCACTTTAATTTGCATGTAGATCACAGAGTGTAGAATTGGCTTGAATCATAATCAGAATCCACAAGCATTGTGAGATCATGTTGAAACTAAGAGGGATCCTTCATTCAAATTAAATGAAATATGGTGCAAACAATTTCTCAATTAGTTGTAGCTATATATAAAATAACAACAGCATACTCCTATTGTTTAGTGTTGCAGCACGTAATTACCTCCATGTCCATCATAAACTCCAAAAAAAGCAGTGCCTTTGTCCTCTTTAAGAGATAAAATCTCTGTATGGGAATCCTCCATGTCTAAGTTGTAAGTTAAGGAACATCAGGGTTTCCTGTTGTTTTCAACATATTGTATATTGCTTGTGCCTTTAGCCAGCTCAGAATCCACACAAAGGAGGGGTGCTGCCAAGAATTTTTGGCAAGGGTGTGTCCCCCAGTTACCTCAATCCTGACCCTATTTCAAACCAGAACATGTCACTTTCTGAACCTGTTGCACAGTTGGCCTCTAAAATCTAAACCTTTTTCCCCACCTTATGGTTTGCTGTATTTGGACAAGCTTCCTGTTGGTGCTTCAGTCTAGAATTGATAAAATTTTTTTTCCTATAATGAAGCTTTAATGACATGATCAAGTTACTCTCCTTTCTCTTTTATTCATTTGGAGTTACTAAGACAGATATATTTACAACAGATGCTGTTGTGATACCAAAGAAATCCATCCCCAATGTAAATCTGTGGATGTTTTCAGAATAATGTGCCCTTAAGACCATACCCTTTGCAGTCACAAATATCTACCTAGCTTGGAATGGGTAGTGCATCAAGTGTTCTCCAGACACTTTTTTAGTATCCAGCTATAAAGAAAGTTACGTAGCAAGGAAGTAAAGAGAAAGTGCCTGCTGAAACACATGATTGTCTACACTTGCCAATCCACTCCCAGTTGTAATTGAACCTTTTTGGTACATACAACAATAAGCAAAGGTGAAATAGGTTTCACATCAAGAAATGTTCAATGTAATTCACCGCTTTGCCTTCTTTAGGAAGATGGTGTTTGCAGTAGCTAGCAAAAATGCCAACCACCATTGCTTGTGGATAACACTTGGAATATCCCCTGAGCCATGGTTCATCAAATATTTTAGAATGTCCGGCTGTAAAAGGATACTTATTCTCCATCCCTGCATGCAAGAAGAACCAACTTTGTACAACTTGTTTGAACAAGAGGAAGTCTCTTTAGTAGTGACTGGCTCTGAGAGGGTCTGACCCATTCTGAAAATACAAAATGCTTCTTGTTATCACGTGACCCATATGATTGCACTGACACAATAATTTAGAAAACCAAAACAAATGCTGACGTGTATGGGGTGGTATGAGTTGACATGAATCACATCCAGAGATAGCCTTCCCACCTACACAACTCTGTTTCATTTTCCAATAATGTGAATTCTGTTTGTGGAATTTGACTTAAAATAAACAGAAATGAGGAAATAAGTCTTGCTTTGCAATGAATTTTGCATTTGTGTGCTGACTACAAGAAATAACTTAAGTTTTCCTTGGAGAATCTTTCTTGTTACTGTTGAGCCCCTGTGTTATGAATATAATCATGCCCTATTTACACATAGGTTCAAACATATTTATATTCATTTTTTAGAGGTAAAATACTTATTGACTGAGTTTGGTTGAGTCAGAAAGGAAAATATTTTGCTTTCAGTCATGACCCACACAGCCAGTGTAGCATCAACATAATGACCTTAAGTCCAAATTTTCCATCCTGACCTTCCAGTCAGGCAATAGGTGCACAATAAATAGGCCATATGGAGTTAATTAGGCAATTGAGATCAGAGAATTCTTTAGCAGCTTTGCACAAATCTTTGGGTATATTTTGATGACCTGAATTAGTCCAAATTCAGATGTGGAGGCACTTTTCTGGATGAAAACCCAGCAAAATCTTCAGCACCATAGAAATAAACTGTGAAACACTGTGAAAAATACTTATCAGACACTGACTAAGAGTTTCTAACGAAACTGTGGTGCTGCGTCGGTGGGGGTAAGAAGGTAATAGGTTATATCAACTAAGTTGAAATTGTAAATTGGCCACCATAACAAGTTAAAAAGCTGACATTTCAAGCGTTAGCCCTTTGTCAGAGCAAAGACAAAGGGGTAACGCTCAAAACGTCAGCTTTTTAACTTGTTATGGTGGCCAATTTAATATTTAATAAGTTGAACTGTCTTCAAAATTATTTTCCTTTGACATGATCTTCTTTAACTGAAACAATTGAAGGGTATAAAGGGAGAATGGAAGAAGATTGTTTATGCCTAAAATTTGAGTGCAATGGATGAATTTTCACAGAAAGGTAAGCTAAGGTGAGATTTGAAGTTTTCCTCTCTGAATTTGTAATTTGTGAAATACCATTTAAATACATGATCTGTCCATTTTTCTAAATATTTGTGCATGAAATGGGAACAGGGTCAACCCTTTGCTACCCTCTTCCCTCCTAACACTTACACTTCCAGGAGTGTGATTAAGAAGCAACTCTTTCCTGTAATATCCATACATTATCCAGCAAATGGGTAATGAGAATACTCAAACTTATCAAGCAGAAGTTATCTTGATCTAAAACTAAATGCTTGCAACTAATTTGAAAGGAAATACATTGCAGCTTGCTAGAGGGGAGAATTAAAAATTAGATCTTGGGAGTTCAAAGAGGAGGATACAACAACAAACAAAGGCAAACATTCAACAATTCCAACAGCTTGAACTACTGTTTGGAGGAATCCATTAGCTTAAAAAGACACATTTCAAAATTGTTTAAGGAAAAAAAAAAAACAGAACATGTCTTACTTTAACGTGTTAATATTCCACAATTTATGCAGACTTCTGTGAGGCATGGTTAGCCAAGGATGTTTATTTCCCGTCTTTATTACATGCAAAATTATACTTCAAAACAAACACCGAATTCAGAAAAAAAAAGTATCAAATTAGGGAATGATTTGGAACTTGAAACGGAATTTCTTGTTTCTACGCAAATTTTCTGCACTTCAAGTGTGTGTATTGATTTCACCACCTTAAGTATACCTGATATATAAATGGGACTAATTACTGCTAATTTTCCACCCTAGAGCCTATTTAACAGACACTTCCAACTCACAGCAGATAAAAATCTTTTACGCCAAACAAATGTAATCGTTGTCGCAGGAAACAGTCAATGACACAACAAACATTTAGCAACAAAAAGATATCAAGCCGCTTCATATCACCAATTAATATTATACAATGGGCAAAATTGAATTTTAGAAAACAATGTCTTGCATTTTGTGCACTAAAAATATTCAAACTTTCAACATAAGAGCATATCGCTTAAAATAGAAGCACAGAACCAAAGGTGTTTTGTTACGCAGCAATATGAAATCCAGTCCATCGGTAGGAACGGTGTTTACTGAACGCTGTAGCCGCTAAATTATTCTTATGCTACACATTATAATACAATAACGGCATCCTTCATTACGCTAAGAAACAGCTGTATCCATAAGGTTTAAATACAGCTAATAATAGTTCCACTAAACCATCAAAAGGCATAGAATAACACTGTTCAAAGGACAGAGTTCTCTCTCAAACATTGATCAAAACCAGTGTCCACGTTGCGCGAAATTACATTGAACAAACTTCCCGAGTTTCAACACGATAACCAATTATTACCTTGTGTTTTGTACAAAACGAAGCAAGGCCATCATGTATTATTAAAAAATTCGTCCACGCAAAAAGAAAATCCCGAATATAAAATGCATCGAGTGCATTCAAAACGCGTAAAATTCAAATTGTACTCGAGAGTAATATTGTTGTGTTTCGTGTTTACGCTACCGAAAAAACCAAAAAGTTAAACAGAGGCTGTCGATTATCGTTCGATAATACAGCTTTGACCCGATCGTCAAAGACTTACTATTGTAAGCGAGCAAGGTACTGGGCTTGCGAGTCGCTAAAATTTTTCCTTTCACTTCTGGCAGATCGAGTTTGTGTAAGGAAAAAGTTCAACAACTTGCAGGAAACGGCAAGCTTTAATTTTAGAAATATCTATCTTGTAGAATTTTTAGAAAGAGAAGAACAAGCGCAACACACAAAAGAGTAGATGATAGTATTAAAAGGCAACAAGCCTTAATTTCTCATCGCAGCAGCAGATAACGAAAAGAAAAGTGTGCAAGGGGATAGATAAAAGCCTGTCTATACTAAAGTTAACAGTTTACATCAGACAGCGAGTAACTCACCTTGAATTTGACGAGGAATTAGTTTACACCAAACCGCTGATCCAACACAATACAGAGATAGTTTGAATCAAAGAAGCTGATAATATTAGCGGAGATCAGAGCTAGTGCGTACCAATGTTTCATGTAAACAGTCGCATCAGAAAATCTTTGCCACTCGACATCTTGAAATCTTGAAAGCGCGACTTGCAAGTCACGTGAGAGGGGAGACGGAAATATACTTAGAGGGTGTGTGAATTATTGATTACTTCAAAGGATTTGGCAAATTCAGAAATCTAAACAGTGCAAACAGACAATTAAACAAATACTCCAACTAAACAAGGAAGAATACCGTTGAGTTCGTCGCTTAAGAAATATTGACGTTGACCAAAACTTTTGCTATTTATTGAGAAGCTCCATCATGCATATGCTTGGTTCTGATTTATTTGTTTTTATTTATCTATTTATTTTTGCCAGTGATTCATCTTTTTTTCATTTTATTTCAGACAAGCACGAAATTAATTTTCAAATTATACTAGTCCTTAGTAAGGGTTGTGACAAATTTGTCATTTCGTTTCAAAACCTTGGTCACGGCCACGTTCGCTAGTGTCTCGCAATCCTGTCGTGACACAACTACACAGTCGAACCGAGAATGCATATGGAGACCGCTCAACACAGATTGACCGCTTAGTACAGGTTCCACAGACGAAGGGTATTATAATCAAAAACGATACACAATGCGCCCGCCTCCCCGTTAGCTCAATTGATAGAGCGCTGGACTGATGTGCGGGAGGTCGAGGGTTCGAGCCCCGGCCGGACCAACACTCAGGGTCTTAAATTAATTGAGAAGAATATGCTGCCTTTCTATAACATCAAGAAATGGTTTAGATATTCTAGTCTTCTCGGATAGGGACGAATAAATGGAGGTCCCGTCTCCTGCAGGGTTAGGGGTAGGAGACGTTAATTTCCCACGCACGAGATTACTGTGTGATGGATGTCCTCCCCTGGGGTGGGATGGGTGGGTTGTTGTCTTGCGTTTCATACATGAGCCTCTGGCTCGGGCAATATGGGTAACCATGCCCCACGTAAAGACATTAAACTTTGATTACTATTACTATTTCTGAAGTGTCAAATGATTACTTTAGGAAATAAACCTCGCGCTAAATCAGCTGAGGAAAAAGAAAGTATCTTGTTTGGATGGCTTGCCCCTGGCGAGCTGGCAACAAACGACTGCCATATTTGAATAAAGAGGCAAGCTTCTAAAGAAACTGTGGTATCGCATCAGTGGGGGGTACGACAAGGAAATTTGGTAATAAATTTGTCACCTTTGATTTTTTCTAACACTGAAGTGTTGAACTTTAGTCCTTCGTCAGAACCTTGACTACTTCGGCAATTTTACTTGAATGAACAGCTATAAGTATGTTTTCATTACTGATTCCTTCGTCGCTGTCAGTCTATCTTCGATTCTAAAAGCTACTTACCTTCAGTACCGCAATTTCAAATTGAGAGACTTCAAAGCCGACCAAACTTTCGCCAACTTGACTGATCAA